ACAACACCCAAGGCTCAACCAGGCTGAAGCCAGGAGCCAGGAACGCCATCTGGGGCTCCCACACGAGTGTCAGGGACCCGGACGCTTAAGCCACCTTCCACTGCCTTCCAAGGTGTATTTGCAAGGAACTGAGCCACCAGGACTCGAACTGGCACTCATATGGGATGCTGAGTTTGCAGGTGAGATTGGTGAGTGGCCAGTCTGGGCCAGACCTGTGACAGGGTCACCCTGTGCTGCCCTGCCTCTGCTCCAGACTTGTGAGTCACTCAACACTGCCCTCAGGTAGCATTCTCCCTGCCCCATGCCCCTCACAAGTAGTGAGACTGTGCCACCAATAATATAAATTTATCCCCAAAACACTCTTACTGAAAATTCCTACTTTCAGATGTACTTTAAAACTGAATCATGGGTCTGCTACAATGGCTCAAGTGGCTAATTCTCTGCCTTGCAAACACCAGGGTCCCATATGGGCGCCAGTTTGTGTACTGGCTGCTCCATTTCCCATCCAGCTCCCTGCTTGTGGCCTGGGAAAGCAGTGGAGGATGGCCCAAAGCCTTGGGAACTTGCACCTGCGTGGGAGAACCAGAAGAAGTTCCTGGCTCCTGGCTTCAAAATGGCTCAACTCTGGCCGTTACAGCCATTTGGGGAATAAATCAGTCAACGAAAAAAATCTTGCTGTCTTTCACTCTCTCTGTAAAATCTGCCTTTCCAGGGCCTGGCACAATAGTGTAGTGGCTAAAGTCCTCACCTTGAATGCACCAGGATCCCATATGGGTGCCGGTTCTAATTCCAGCAGCCCCGCTTCCCATCCAGCTCCCTGCCTGTAACCTGGGCAATCAGTCAAGGATGGCCCAAAGCTTTGGGGCCCTGTACCCACATGGGAGACCCGGAAGAAGCTTCTGGCTCCTGGCTTCGGATTGGGTCAGCTCCAGCCATCGAGGCTGCTTGGGGAGGGAACCATTGGACAGAAGATCTTCCTCTCTGTCTCTCCTCCTCTGTATTATCTGCCTTTCCAATTTAAAAAAAAAAAAAAAACTGCCTTCCCAATAAAAGTAAATAAATAAATGAAAACTAGACCTTTCAGAATTGCAGTCAGGTTCCTGACAGGAGTCTCCCAGAGTGAGAAGCCATGGAATGTTCTCTCTGATACCCCCATGAGGCCTCAGTGGCAGTGTCTCACACAAGATTCCTACCCAAATGTGTAGGGACTTGGAGAATTTCCCAACACTTTCAAATGTCGGTGGCATCATTTAAATTAGTTGAAAGTAGCACAGGATTGTCCTAGCAGAACCACATACAAGCACATGTGAAATATGGAGATTTTCCTCATTTCCTGACAGGCTGCCTGCTGTTATCAAACCAACAGTGACACTTAGCTTTAGATACTTCAGGCCAGCTGTGCCAAGAAGTAATTCAGCTCTTTGAGAGCACAACCTAGCCTATGATTGATTGCAAGCGCTACAAAATATTCTTTTCACCAAAATGGCTGGACAACAAGTCTCCAGTGAAACTTTCTTTACTGCATGTTCCAAAGGACTAACAAATGAAAACACGGTGTAGATAGGACAAAAGCAAAGACTCTACAGTAAACACTACAGAGTACCAAGAAAAATATTCTAAGCATATTTCACTCCAAATCAACTAGATTTACTGTATGCAATAACTCCTAAGTCATGCTTGGGGGGGGGCGGGGGTGAAGAGGAGAATATTTCACTGGCACACACACTCATTCCCGGGGAAACAATGCAGACTGCTCTTCCCAAGTGTGGGACCAACAGCACGTATCTCTCTGTGCTTTATTAATCATTAAATTCCTCCATAAGAAAGCTTCAATCTACACGATCTAAACTTCTGGACATTCAGCAACATACACATTTTCCCTCCAGGGAAAGTTGTATTAAGAACGCTTGTTTTCCATAAAGATCAATAAGCTATCTTTAAACTGCAATGACTCAAAGTTAGGTAAGCACTTGAAAAAGTGAACCTCAAGAGAAAATCATCATTTCTGTACATAATCCTACACTGCTAGTATCAAAAAGAAACTCTTTAGAAACTACTATAGTTTGGCTTCTACCATCAATCTTTCGGGGGTTACTTCAACCAAGTCCCGTTTCCTGAGAGAAAAGAGGTATTTCTATACAGCTGTCCAGTATAATGGGCCACATGCTTAAATTATTCACCATGCATCAACTCTATGCAAATTTACTCAAATTCCTTAATAATTTAATCTGCATACTGGGAATGGTGATCTCATGTCATGAAAACTTCTCAATCTCCCGAATACCTCACACTGCTTCACTGCCACAAAACGATGCCAAGGTAGAACAGAGGGCAACAAATCCAGAGGTCACAGAGTGGCCCTCTGGACAAAACAGAGTCCGCTGCCTGGCTTCGAAACACAAGTCTGATAATCCATTCTGAGGCTTTGACTTCGGGTGCCAGTGATTTAACCACATGGTGAGATGAGGCTTCTTCCTGTAACTCGGCAGCAGTAAAGAATCACACCATCTTCCGATGGGACATTTGAAAACGTCTAGAAACATCACGGGGTGTCACGCTGCTGCTCCATGCCTCGCAGTGTGCAGGAAAGCCCTGCATCACAGTTTCTCAACCCACAAGCCAAAGGGGTTTTAAGGGAGGTGAAGTATCACTTTCAGAATTAAAGGAACCCGCAGCTTTCAGATGCTCCAGCAGGACAACTTCCCCCAGCTCTGCCTCTAAACTGCTAATTGCGTAAGGAACATGGGCACTGCAACCCAGGTCTCAAAGCTTGATGGGTGGCACACCCACCACGATGCCCTGGACACCTGTCAGACATAATAGTACAGGGACCATCAGTTGGGGCCCCAGGCATCTGAAGCCCACTACATGCAAGTTTCACAAGTGTCCCCAGATTGTATACACCCTCCTCCATCACTCCCCACCATGGCGTTTTCTGGTGGAAGCCCGCAGTTTTTGGTTTTCTCTTTCTGCCTGGGCACTAAAAATAACATGAAAGGCTAGTCAGAAGCCATGAAGATAGTGAATAACCCACGGTGCTTTCCAGCCCAGAAAGTCTATGATTTAGCAGGACTTAAAAGGTTTGTAAATCAGAGCCGGAACTTGAAAAGAGATCAGCAGCTTAAGGAAACAGTTCCATGAATAAATAAACATCTAACGTGAAATAATCATCAAAGACGTGTGTGTGCAGATCTGTATACATAACTGCATGGACCTGGCTGAGAAGAAAGGAGCTGAAATGGAGGAGAAATCTACTTATTTCTCACCACTCCGTCGGCAAGGAAAATACATATTTAGAAACCCAAAAGTAGAATTTACATTTTTCCTGTATCTTAAAAGACTACAGTACGTAAATATTGATGAAAGAAAAAAGAAAATGGGAAACACATCTTAATGTAAAGAAAACCTCAGGGTTTAGAAGCCATAGAAATCAATATGGAAATGATTGATAAAGGATAGCACATCTCCGCGTGGGCTATGGAACGTCACTGAAGGACGGTTAGCAGATGCACGCCCAGAATATCATAAGCGAGGACAGATCACAAACAGTGCAGCCGGTGCAGCATCAAGCCTGTTCAAAATGCAAACACACAGAAGTGAATACATTCTGCAACTGCATGGCTATATAAGTCGGGGGTGGGGAGGGCTGGCAGTGTTAACAATGGTGCCGTGAAGCCGGGAAGGGTCTACCCATTTCTATCCCTGCTTTGTGCTTTTCTCTACTCCACAATTGTTCTACTGTGCGGGAGCTCGGAGCTCGCTTTGTTACACTTGTACTTTCAGAACTAATACATTCTTACACATTTAAATGGATTTGTTTCAGGAGCTGTCCTTGAAAGGAGGGGAGGATGGGGCGGGGAGGGAATATACCAACTTTTCACATATAGAGACCACTTCCAAAATAAACAAAAGCAAGCATCTAGGAAGCCCTATGATTCCATGCTGGGACTTCTTTGAGCACTTAAAATATGCTCACTTAATTAAAACAAGAATATTAACAAACACAAAAAAAGAGCTTTGAATAATAGGAATAGAACTGAGAATTTGTCCCTATTACGAATTTTGGTCTCAGTGGCCACAGGGTGACATGAGTGAGGGATTAATTAATTAGATGATCTTGGCAGGTGGAGGCTAAATCGTGGCCCTGCAAGGAGAGAACTGGGCCAAATAAGTGCGTGTTAGGAGCCAGTGACAGAGCGACCTGGCGGCTGGGTACCAGCTCAAAATCACAGAGCCCACCTGAAACAGGCCGTTCCTCCTCCTGGATATTCATACACCAAATTCCCCCATCTTCTTTTTTCTAACACTGTGAACACCAGTGATCACAACAAAGCCAACTGTGTGCTTTGCTGGGTGGAAGAACCAGCGAAAGGACCTGTTTGTGGTGAAATCCCGTGGTCACTTTTAACAACAAAGCCTAGAGTAAACAAAACTTGAAGACACGTTTTAGTAGCCTTGGGGGGACAATGACTGCAGGCACGGGCTTTTGTAGTGTTTGACTAAAGGGATCTAAAGATTTCGCAAAAGGCACCGCAGGTCTCAAATAAACCCTAAACCTCCTCACATCCCTAAAATGCAAAGTAGGGGACCAGTGGGAAGCTCATCTCTGGGGCTTGGAAATTCCTTCCAGCTCTGAGCGGACTGCCCAGCTGACTGTGCGGTTGTCCCCACGGCTCGGGGCTTTTAAATACGTGGGACCTCCCCGCGTGGATCCCAGGGAACCAGGCGGACGGGGAAATAACGCCGACCTGTCAGGGTTACTTCCTATCTCTCCCGCCAGTCAAAACGTGGCTCCTGCTGGCTTTAGTGGCAAAATTCGCGGGGGAGCCAGGCACTTCTGTCACACACACCGGGGGCTGTAGGGTCTATGGGAACACCGGGCACACGATGTCCAGGTTTAGACCACATACACACACACACACACACACACACACACGGGGGGGAAAAAAACTATTAAGAAAACACAAAGACTCAAGACACAAAACAAACCAGGAAGGCAAATGGGCAGGACACGCTCAGAACGCACACACAAAAAAGAGGCACGGCGGCTTGACACCTGCGACGGCCCGGAGCCCACGTGGGGTCCCCGGGCGGCCCAGCAACCGGCTCGCTACGGCCACAAAGCGAACCCCAAACTTCGCCGCGGGGACCCCAAGGCCGGCACGGAGGGACCCGAGCCGACACCCACCCGCGAGGCCACCACCTCCCGGGCGACCCTCGCCTCGCCCCCGGGCCCCCCGCCGGCCGCTCCCGCCCCGACGCCCGGGATCCCTGAGGGGGCGCGCCCGCCGGGCTGCCCCGGGGTGCCCGGTGCCCGCCCGCCCGCCCGCCGGCGGCCCCGCGCTCCTCGCTGGGCGGGCCCAGCGTCCCGGCTCCGGCCCCGAGGCCGCCCGTGCCACGCCGCTTCTCACCTGCGCCCGCCGCGCCCCGCGCCTCACAGCGCCGAGAGCCGCCGCCGTTCCGCCCGCCCCGGCGCCCGCGGCCGCGCCGCCGCCATCATGGCTCCGGTCGGAAGTGACGTCGGGCGGCGCGGCCGCGGCCTGTGGGCCTTGCGGGACCCCGGCCTCCCGGCCCCTCGGCCGGACACAGCCCCGAGGAGCCCGGCCTTCCCGAACGCCAGCCCTCCCTGAAGGCAGCCTCCCGGGTCAAGGCGACGCCGGCACCCCTCAGAGGCGCGCCTCCAGGGGGCCTGACAGGGCCGCGCGTGGCCGCCCTCGCGGACCCCACGGCTCCCGCCTGTGTGATTCTGCGGGATTCACGGCCACTGAGGGTCCTCAGCGTTGCAAAAGGGGGGCCAGGGGCCTCACCGTGGAGGTCATTAAGGACCCGTCGGGTAAATAAATACAGTCCCTATCTATGCCTTCTTGGCTTCTGTCAGAAGGACCAGTGCAGCCTCAGCACCAGAAGCCTGGACCGGCCGTGCACGCCGTGCCTAGGGCGACTCCAGGTGACACCCCGGAGAGAGCCTGGCAGGGGATTTGAGGAGGCAGCGGGTTCTGGCCAGAGGAGGCTCCTGCAGGTGTGCAGATCTGAATCAGTATTAACTTGAGTGCGATTTTTCAGAGAAGATTCCAGAAAAGCTCAACTTGCCACCCTGTTCTGACAGGAGACAGACGACCTCATTGGAGACGAGCTGCAAGGGACCCCCGTGAGGCAGAATTTTGACCCTGCAATGTAGAAATGCAGGGTGCAAGAAGAAAGGGCCCTTTTTTCTTCCTCTTGGACACACTCCTAACCCTTGCCAGACAAACGGCTTCTCTTAGGGAATAGCACCTGGGCACCTTTGTTTACAGCTATGGCTTTCCTCTGAGCAGTTTGGCTTGAGCCTGGTTATCTGGCAACACCTGAAGTAGATGTGCCATTTGTATCCAGTAATAGCTCTGCTCCAGGGACTACTTCGGAAGGCAGAGCAGAGAGGTGGCGTGGACCACCATGGGTAGCACAGGAAGATAAATGCTGTGATGGGGCTGTCCCCCTGAAGACTGGCAACAACGGCCGTTAGACACCTGGGAGCTGACGACCAGCAAGCCAACTGCAGACGAGACTGGACTACAGGTGCAGGCCAGAGATGAGAGAAGGTGGCCTTGCCACCCACTAAAGCCGTGACCTCATCAACAAAAGCTATCTTCTAAGAATGGAGTCTGGAAGTATCTCAATGAAATGGGTGCCGTCAGCCCCCTATAAAATTAAGGATCCAGTCCCCCAACAAGTAGATGGTGTATACTGGACCTTAGAAAGGACCGGAAGTATGTGTGTATGCAAATATAGTTTAGTCTAAAAGAGGTTATATCAGCATGTTATGCAGAGACGGTGAACTAGTGAGCAAATGCAAACAGCCTCTTCAGAATAAGTTTTATCAAGCCTTTAAAAAGTGGCTGATTTGGTGGTACAGCAGGCTAATCGTCTGGCTTGTGCCACCAGCATCCCATTTGGACTCAGGGTTACATTCTGGCTACTCCACTTCCAATCCAACCCTCTGCTTATGGCCTGGGAAAGCAGTGGAGGATGGCTCAAGCCCTTGGCACCCTGCAGCTGCATGGGAAACCCAGAAGAAGCTCTTGGCTCCCGACGTCAGACTGACCCAGATCTGGCTGTTGGGGAGTGATCTGGGCACTTAAGGGAGTGAACCGTCAGATGGAAAGTCTCTTGTTCTACCTCTCTGCAGCTCTGCCTTTCCAATAAATAAATGCATTCGTCTTTTTAAAATATATATAAGAACTGTCAAGACTACAGTGCCATTTAATGAGTGTTTGTTATCTGCATGATATGCTAAATATTACTGTTTCACTTCTTTGAAAGGATAAACTGTTTTGCTGAAGGATGAGAGGACAAATTAGAAGCATTTTCATCACATCTCAAGGGCTATTTCTGCATCAGGAAATGGAAGTGTGAAATGGGCTGTTTGCCTAGATGTGCAGCATGGGTCGCACTCTGCATGGTTACGCCTGGGACAGCTGGCCAGTTGTCAGACATGGGAGTGCTGTTACAACAGCCATGAGCATCTTCACCACAACATCCCAGCATTCAGAGCGGCGTCTGGTACAACGCTCAGCAGGCAGTTTTAATGGGGAGAAAAAAGTCTTCTCCCTGGCTCTCTTCACATGCATAGATAAGCAGATGTGTGGTGGACAAGACGTGGTGTGTATGATTGTGATTGGACCCACAGAGCTTCTACTGGCATAGCAGCTGGGTGACTCGAAGGATAAGAGATTTCACAACTGAGATTAGAGAATTTGCAGTGCGTTGCCAATGAAAGTGTAAGTGGATTTGTTGTGGGATGGGTGGGTCTGGATTTTTATCTCTGATGCAAGAAGGGTTCAAGGGTGAGACATAGGTAAAGATTACCAGAAGAGTTAAGATTCATCGTTGGAAAAGTGGAAGTGTGCACCTGAGGGGGAGTGAACTTATCTAACCAGAATGAGATCATCTCTTTATAAGATCTGAAGGCATGGGGGGCTGGTGTCTGGGATGCAGTTTAATTGAATATTCATCAAGGATGGGGTTTGAATACTGCTTATATCTTCTTTGGAAGTCTCAGAGGTATCCTGGCATCAGGTGCACAACCATAGTGGGAGCATCAGTCATGGTCACTTTATTGTAATGACATCATCACAGGTCACAGCCGTGTTCGGTATTTTCAGCCAGCACTCACTGGGCAGCAGCTTTGCTAAACAGCAGTTCTCAGAGCGCAAAAAGTAGTGGGGACTTGAGGAGAACGCAGAGGCCTTGGGCGTCAGCCCCTCTCTCTCCTTGCCTCTATCAGATTTCAAATTCCCTGAATGGTAGCAGGACCTGCTTCCTGCTGGGTTCTGGGATTCTAGGTATATCTCATGGACTCTCATCAATCCTCCACCAACCCTGCATGGTAAGCATTGTCACTGACAGCTGAGAAGCCAGGCCAGGAGGGTCTACGAACTCGCCTAGAATCCAGCACAGCGGCTTCTGTGCGGTACGACACTGGCATCTCATGTGAGCTTGAGTCTCTCTGCTTCATTTCTGATCCAGCTCTCTGTTAATGCAAGTAGGAAAACAGTGAAGGATGACCCAAGAGTCTGGGCATCTGCTGCCCATATGGGTTTTGTGAGTGGAGTTTGAGGTTCCTGACTCCAGGCTGTGCCAGTCCCAGCCATTGTGGCCATGTGGGGTGTGAACCCACAGATAGAATATATCTGCCCTTTTCCCTCTTTGTAAACTCTTGACTTTCAAGTAAATGAGAGTGAGAAAGACTTTGAACCCAGCCAATTTAGTTTCTTAAGCAGTAGTCTCACCTGTACATACATATGCACACTGCTCACACACTCCACACACTCACGCAGTCCTCTGAGACCTGGATCAGAATCCAGTAGAGGTGACCATAGCACACACACTCAGGCTGGGAAGTTGAATTTTTGTTGTGTTGGCAGTTTATTAAATTCTGCACAAAGAGCCCATTCTCAATACTTTGCCCGAACTGTCAGGTTAGGTTGTCAATTAAAAGATCACGGTCATGGTCAGAGCAGGACAGAGCAAGAGCAAGGGTGTCAGTGTATCAGATTACCTCGCTTTGGGTTCAGACAACACATCCCTTACCTTAATTATTTTAAGATCTATCTATCTATCTATCTATCTATCTATCTATCTATCTATCTATCTATCTATCTTAAAGGTAGAGCAAGAGAGAGAAAGAGAGAGAGAGAGCGATTCCATTAGCTGGTTCACTCTCCAAACAGCCACAATAGCCTGCTGAGAACCAAGGTGTTGGATAGACCAAAGCCAAGAACCAGGAACTCCATTCTGATCTCCCATCTGGGTAATGGGCTCAGACCTCGACCATCTTTGTTTGCCTTCACAGGTGTATTAGCAGAGAGCTAAGTCAGAAACTGGCCAAGACTTGAGCTAGCACTCCAAATGCCAGTGTCACAAGTGATGGCTTAATCTGCTCCTGTCCTCCATATCTTCTCTTCCTTTTCTTCTTTCTCTCTCTTTCTTTCCTTCCTTCCTCCTTTGCCTTTCCTTTTTTCTTTTTTCCCTTCTTTCTTCCTAAGTACTGAATTGCTTTTTCTCATGCCTGCAGATCATTTTCATGAGATCCAGGCTGCTTTCTCTGGTTTTGTCATTTCGCCTTTCCCACCTGCCATCACTTTCTATGTCATTTACCCATGTGAGGAATTGCATCCAGGCCAGCACACCAGCAACCCAAGACTGGAAATGCATGCCCTGGATTCCAAGTAGAGAGGAGGCTCAAAGATTAAAAAACAAAACAAAACAAAAAACCAGGGACATTTTATTGTGCATAAGATGCTTTGTGGCACGTAGCTCCATGAGAAAAATCCTATAGCCTCAAAGTGCATAGACAATTCCTAGCAGTGGTGAAATTTAACAGCAGGATGGGAAAGGAAGCTGGCTTTACTGAGCGCCCAGACTGAGCCATGCCTTCTGCTACATTCTCTTTCATCTTCCCAACAGCAAGCAGCAGCTGCTGCTTCCCAGCAGCGAAGCTGAAGCTCAGATGGCGGGGGCACACAGCTGGCAGGGGCCAGGAGTTGGTAGATTGTCCAAGTTCAGGATGCAGCGATGGTCAGCGCTGCTCCCCATCATGGAGATGACTGAAAGACACCTGCACCAGGACACTGTCCCTGCTTCCCAAGAACCTAGGATCCAGAGAAGGAGATGGCACTTAGAGAACTGTCATAGAACACAGTAAGAGCCTGGGACTGCAGCTGCATGTTCTACACAAGCTGAATGAGGGCTCTCCCTGCCCATTTTCCTTTTCTAGCCTTACTATTTGAAAGGCAGAGCCAGAGAGGGAGAAGGAAGGACGAAGAGAGATCTTCTATTCACTGGCTCATTCCTCCAAATGACCACAATAGGGCTAGGCCAGGCTAAAGCCTGGAATTCTATCCAGGTCTTTCACATAGGTGGCAGGTGCCCAAGCATTGGGGTCATCTGCTGCTGCTTTCCCAGGCCTGTTAGTAGGGAGCTGGATCCAAAGTGCTATACCCAGGATACAAATCACTGCTCATGTGGGATGCAGGCATCTCAGATGGCTGCTTAACCTGATGTGCCACAACACTGGTTCCTCCAATGTTACTTTTAGAGAGAGAAAACAGACCCACGAGATGTTAATATTTCTAGTAATTCAAATTTGCAG